GCGTTAAAATTAGAATGAAGTAAAACTGATTATTAAGAGACTATATCAGTTCCTACAGTATGAAAGTCAGCTAAGGATTAACAAGTGGGGTAATTTAACAGAGGAGAAAGGGAAACGTGTTCAGTAACAGTGTTCTGTTAAAGAAAAGCATCGCAGAATGTTGACAAAGAATGCGATGATATCAACAATTTACGACTATGTATGAATGTGAAGTGATCCCTAAATGGGATATTTGATCATCAATATTGTTACCTAATGTGAATGAATGGAAATTTCATGTTGAATGGAAGCTTTCAGCAGACAGGTTATTTGCATGTTGAATTGTTTCTGCTAGTTAAATTTTTACGGTGAAACAGGTCGAAGTAGCTGGAGTAAAACTACTGGGAAAAGGAAAGGTAGCCAATCTTTTATTGTGAAACATGCAAGAACAAATTAGATAGAAATGTGGATATGCAGAGGTCAGATTTGTGTGGAAGAAAAGATGAGAATAGCATTGTAGTGTAAATTTTGTAAAAGATTGATGGTCGTACGAAAACATTGTAATAGAAGAAAGGCGTAGGGAAGTATTTTGAGTAGCAGGTTTTGCAATAATGCAAAGTAATCATTGTGGAGCAATGAATGGCATGGTGTATATCTTTTGTCTAATTGAAAAGAGCAGACATTAACCATAAACAATCAGTAGAATATGAGTAAAGGAAAGCGTATAAAGTAAGATATAATAGTTTACAATAATAGCTGCTTTGCAGGGATTTAATGTGGAAAAAGGGGACGCTGTGGAGGAGAGAAGAGTAAAATATCAAACTGAAGCTAGATAATGAATTAAAGCAGCTACAGGGAAAATGAGCGCACAAGCTATACTACTTCAGAGTTATATCTCTTACTATTCAGCTGTATAACATATAAACTGTACAAGCATATTGTTCCTCTTCTGTTAAGTTCAGCAGATATTGACTTAACTGTATTGCTGGCAAACACATTGCTATGCCAACACTGTTCTTCTATTTTTTATCTGTTGTTGATTCTGTTTTTGCTTTCATACATACAAATTTGGTTATGCTTGTACAGTTTATATGTTACAGAACTGAATGATATAATAATTGAATGACAACCACAACAAAACAGAATACCAGCAGGACAAATGTAGTGTAACACAACATGAATAGGTACAAAATTAAGCAAGAGATTGCATGTTCGAGCTATTTTGAAGAAAAAGCATATAGAGTTAGGAGGATTTTAGATGCAGCCGAACGATTTTAGTGGCAAATGCAACAAAGCACGACGAAACAACAGATGCAATATCCATGATTGAAATATAGCCACAGAATATGCAGAAGGTTAGACTGGGAAACCTGTGTCATATATGGTTAAATACCTAAATCATGCATTCGGCTACATGAGAAGAAGCTGAAGTCATTTGAGAGCAGCCGAATGACAAGGCAATATTGAGAAAGTCTTAGGAAGACATTTGTGTGACATGAAGAAAACAGCGGAAGTTAAGGTGGTGATATAAAATTTTATCAGAGTCTTTCTAATATAAAGGGCTGTGGAGTACGGGTTGTTAAGACAAGAGAGTGTTGGTCGGATAATAATGACCTATGACTAATGAGTGTGATCAAGACTCGTTATAAGGAAAGGAATTCATCATAAGTATTGAGACACAATGATAAGTCTATTTTAAAATTTGTAATTGAAAGTTTTAAATTAAATCTTTTTTTTATATGAAAATATTATTTTTATTTAGAAGCATTATAATGGTTAAGATGACTTTAAATTTGAATATAAATATCGAAGAGGGAATAAGAAATAATGATATACAGAAGAGAAGGGGTTTGCAGAAATGTGTTTTTTTTTGTATTGGTATTTAAAGGTTATTTGCAATTTATTTTTCCTATGTTTAATGATAAAATTTGAATTTAGAATATCCCTAAGGTTGGAGATGCCCTTAGTTGAGTGTCAAATATAGTAAAGCAATATTGATAATTATGACATGAATATTATAATAAATCAATAAGATTTTACCCTATATTCAATCTATAGTTATTATGTTGGTCAAACTTACAGACTCTTTCAATTGTTATGGTTTCAAGTTTAATAGCAGTATCACACAAATTATGACAAGCAGAGAAAATTTAATGTTATGTGTAAAATATTTGGAAATTACTCATAAATCATATTGGAGTAATATAAATTCTTCTATTTGTGTGATACTGCTATTACATAGTAATATGTTAACATAATGTAGAATTAAGGATTATCAAATGGCTGCAGTATTTACCTTGTAGGGATTACGCAGAAATTGCCTAGCCAGTGCTTCAACCTCCTTGGGCCAAGTGGCACTTAAATACAACGTTTGTCTATCTGGTCTAATCTGCAGCAGCATCAAAAAATACGTTAAGCTCAGATTTGAAGCTTCTGTCAGCGGAATTTGAAGAATGATATAATAATTGAAAGACAACCACAACAAAACAGAATACGAACAAGACAAATGTAGTGTAACACAACATGAAGATGTACAAAATTAAGCAAGAGATTGCATTTTCGAGCTATTGTGAACAAAAAGCATATACAGTTAGGAGGATTTGAGACGCAACTAAATCATTTTAGTGGCAAATGCAACAAAGCAAGATGAAGCAACAGATGCAATATCCGTGTTTGAAATATAGCCACAGAATATGCCGAATATTAGACTGTGAAACCTGTGTCATATGTAACAGAATGAAGAACAGGAAAAAAGCAGAAGAACAGTGTTGGTATAGCAATGTGTTTGACAGCATTAGAATTAAGTCAATATCAGCTGAATTTAACAGAAGAGGAACAAACAACAATAGGTGCACGAAGTTGATGTGGTAAAAGTAAGATGTACTTTTTTTGGAAAAGATTGGGGCAATATATTCGCTATTGAACTTTATCGCCGCAGTGAATAACAAGAACATGTGCATTGGACAGCATGCAGCTCTACCTAAGACTTGTGAATGAAAAAGCCAAAGGGAAGCATTTGTAGCATATGAATGAAGTATTAACGATGAATTTTTTCCGAGTTGCACAGACTGCCATAGAACAAGGAGAATAATGTTCATCCAATCAGTATATACAGACAGAAGCAGTGATGTAAACTTTCATAATGTTTTCGGCAGTTAAATTTTGAGAAAAGATGAGCAAGCACAATAAGAGTATAGTTCTGTGTAAAAATGAGAACAAAGTGAATATATTATTAAGAGAAGACATGAAATATAGAAAGATCTGTAAAGATAATAAATAAATTTGAAGCAGTAATTTTGAGACTATCAAAAAAGAAAGCAGGCTAACAAAAGAATACATGAATGCTGACTCCACAAGTATAAATAGGAGAGAATAAAGCAGTAAAGACTTTCAACTATAACATAACGAAAGACGAAAAAGAGTGTGCATATCAGTAAGAAGACAAAAGGTATCCCAAAACTGAAGAGTACAAAGCTGTGAAATTGAAAGCATAAACAATAGACAAAAGAGAAAAGTCGAAACCGTTGAAAGCGGAAGGTTCTAAGCAGTGAAAGTGTGAAAGGGGCTTTTGCGGTTTGGACGGGTTGTGGTGGTTGGATGACAAAGATAGTGCAAGAGACAAATGCATGCAATTATAGTTCGTTTTGACCGATTTGTGGTACTACCGCAGAAAAAGCGAAATGCTATTTGTGTTTTGTTCGACGGTAAGTTTTAGGTATTTCTGTGTTGCTGAGCATGTAAATCGCTGATTGTAGCTATATCTACGCAAGACCAATTAGCAATCGGAGAAAGTTAGGTTAAATGATAAAGAAATACCTGCGCAGCGCATCCGAAGCAAACCAAAATGTCGACGAAAGCTTCAGTCAGAAATTGAAACTGTGCAGACTAACAGAAGAAGCTGCAGAAACGATGGATCGGCCATTGAAGAGCTAAGCTGTACAGAAAGCAGAGTTGAGAAAATGGACGGAGCTTACGAAGGAGGCGACGAAAAACCCTTACGAAATTGTGAGAGGGTAGTAGGAAAGTTCTAGAGAAAGTGAAAGGGAAATGGGACAGCTGTCTTTTGAGAAATGAAAAAGGAGCAACTGAACGTACCATCAGTACTGCCCTTAGTACAACCCCAAGATGCAGTGTTGGTCCTTTTGAAGTCCCATTTCTAAATAAGGGTAATATATAATGTCCTTTAATCTTGTAGTTTTATACAGGTGGAAAGTTAGTTAAGAATTAAAAAATTAACATGAAAGAAAGAAAATTAACTTAGGCGGATGCCTCATTTTTAAAGGCATTAAAGCTGCTCCTAGCAAAGACGAGAAGATATTAAAATGACATGATAAGGCAAGTAAAATTTAGCGAACGCCTAGCTTTGCTTATCATCTTATAATTTTCACATATTTACTTCATATTTTGAATCCCCCAATATACAGATGCAACTCTTTTTAGTTTTCTCTTGTCTTATTTTTTCAAGTTGTTAATTACTTCGATGAAAGATACATGTTCCATCTTAATATATACACATAGTTTCTCCCTAAAAATTGCCAAATCCATAATTTTAGCTACACTAAATTAAATAACTTTAGTACATATTAAGGGTTCTACTTAACTCAAACTAAAAATATGAAATGGAGAGAGTTGTGATTTTAGGGGATGTTTTTGTTAATTTAGAAAGTTGATAGAAGTTAATCTTTCATTGTCACATATCTATTGTGTGTATAAAATATGAATATTTAAGAAAGATTGTAACATTCACGCACCGATTAGTTGGCGTGCCTGGTGGGACTTGGCAGTAGACAATATCATATGCTACGTACAATGACATTTAGTCTTTGCTTGGCCCCTAGAAAATAGGAGTACTCTTTATCATTATCATAATTAACCAGCTCTCGATGGAAACATTTAGTCCTTGCTTGACCCTAATAAAATAGGAGTACTCTTTATCAGTATCATAACATCTTGATAGGAATAAATGGAGCTTATATCACAAGGTAGTCACATGCATGTGCAACTTGGATCCTCCTATTTATACTTAAACTTCAAATTAGATTTCTCATTCAACAAAAAATAAAACACTAGAAGTGTGCAATTTGCTCCACCTTTGTTATTTCTCATGGATCTCATTTCCAATTTGTTCTATGGTCTTCCTTTATTATACATTCTCTATTTAATATGGAAGATTATCGATCGAAAAAGACACCAAAATTGTTACATTTTGGACTATGAATGTCACAAGCCAACCGATGATCGAATGCTTAGCACAAAATTTTCAGGGGAAATAATTATGAGGAACAAAAACCTTGGCCTAAATGAGTATAAGTTCCTCTTGAAAGCTGCCGTTAGCTCAGGCATTGGTGAACAAACATATGCACCAAGAATGGTGTTTCATGGTCGTGAAGCATGTCCTACTTACGAAGATGGTATCTTGGAGATGGAAGAGTTTTTCCATGATAGCATTGACAAGCTCTTCAAGAGAAACAAAATTTCCCCTTGTGAAATTGATGTACTCGTAGTGAATATATCAATGTTAGCTACTATGCCATCTATGGCTGCACGAATAATCAATTACTATAAGTTGAGGGAAGACATCAAGGTGTATAACCTCACTGGGATGGGGTGTAGTGCTAGTCTCATATCACTAAATATCATCGAAAATATCTTCAAGAATGAGAAGAACAAGGTTGCACTTGTGGTGACATCAGAGTCCTTGAGTCCAAATTGGTACTCGGGGAGTGATAGATCTATGATTCTATCTAATTGTTTGTTTAGGTCAGGAGGTTGCGCGATTTTATTGACAAACAAATTGTCTTTAAAAAACAAAGCCATGTTCAAATTGAAGCAACTAGTTAGGGTACATCATGGTGCAAAAGATGAAGCCTATGATAGTTGTGCACAAAGGGAGGATAATCAAGGTAACACAGGGTTCCACCTTGATAAAAAACTACCAAAGGCCGCGTCACGTGCACTAGTCGATAATTTGAAACAAATAGCACCCTTGATCCTTCCTATAAGGGAGCTACTTAGATATTCAATCGCGATATTTATGAAAAAAATGAATTGGAGCTCAACAAAAGGAGGACCTAAGCCAATGATCAATTTCAAAACAGGTGTAGATCATATTTGTCTACATACTGGAGGAAAAGCAGTAATTGATGGTGTTGGTGCAAATTTGAACTTAAGTGAGCATGATTTAGAGCCAGCAAGAATGACATTACATAGATTTGGTAACACTTCAGCAAGTAGCCTTTGGTATGTGTTAGGGTACATGGAGGCCAAAAAAAGGTTAAAGAAAGGTGATACAATGCTTATGATTAGCTTTGGAGCAGGATTTAAGTGTAATAGTTGTTTATGGGAAGTGTTAAGAGATTTGGATGATGGAAATGTGTGGAAAGATTGCATTGATAATTATCCACCTAAAACTATAGTGAATCCTTTCATGGCACAATTTGGATGGCTACATGATCATGAAGATCCGGACACCTTCACTATTCCAGATGATTATTTTATCTCTTGAGTTTTGTTTTTTGTTTAAAAAAATAAAATTGTCTTTTTTCTTGCTTGAAAAAGAACAATATCATACTATTGTTCTTAGTATTTTACTATTTTTGTTCTTTTTTTTCTTATTGGTTAGACACATTGTTGTTGGTTTAAGTCAGCTCAAAGATATTATTAAGTGATGTTCAATGTTTTGTACCAAATTTGCAAGTATGTTTTTCGAAAATATTTTTTATTTTCTTAAAAAATATTTATTAGGAAAATAAGTAGATTTTTTTATGTTTGATACATAAGTAAAAACTAATTCAATATGATCTAGACAGTATAGGGGCGTGGTACTACTAAAATAAAAGTCAAAACTTGACCCAAGGAGATTGGTTATCGGTAAAAATCGACCTTCGAAGGTCGGTTTTTTGAAAAGATTTTTTTTTTTTGGAAAATATCGACTTCATGAGGTGTCTTTTTGTAAATTCTTTTTGTTAAATATTGGTTTCTTTAAAAAAATATATGAAAAATAACATTTAAAGTCAATTTTATATAATAGTTATCGCAAAAAACAATCTCAGGAGGTCGGTGCCAAATACCTCTTTTGAGTTCTATTTTGACAGTTTTTTCGTAGTGTGAGGTTGGTGGGGATGACTGCTAGGGGTTGAGGTGATGAGGTGTGTTGGAGGACACAGTAAATGTGGAATTTTTGTTTTTCCTATTTTTACTAGGAAAGCTATTTTCCTTATTTCGGAAAAAATGATTTTTCTAAAAAAAGTGTTTTTCAAATATATTAGCAAATCGAACAATATAAAAAAAAATATTTTTCGAGGTACACTCTGAGAGATTTCCTAAGTTGTATGTAATTTCAGATGGTCTTTAATCTTTGCCTATACTATTCATTTTATAAAAATTGTTGTCCAAAGTACCTTTAACTATGACTTAATTTCGCTAGGCAAATATTTTTCCGAGAGCATAAGTTCAGTTCTATTTAATTCGCAAGGCAAACATTTATCCTTAATATTAAAAAATAAATCGTTTGGCACATGTTATGCCTATAAGACACACGTTCATACTACTGAACTTATATATATGCTCCCAAGACATAAGTTCATTGTATAATTTTTTAAGGTATAATGTTCTAAATCTGACACGTTCAAATTTACAAAAAACTTATGCCATAAGATCCAAGATATGTCTAAGGCGGAAAAAAAGAGGCAAGCCATGGGTTATATATGTCTTATAAGGTATAAGTTCAGTGTATGAACTTTTTTAAGTGTAATATTTTAAAGGGAAAAAAGATAAATATATCCTCGAACTATCGTAAATGGTATGCAAATATCCTCCGTCATACTTTTGGGACATTGGTGTCTCTGCCGTCCAAAAACTAGAGCATATATATCCTTTATACTAACGGACATACACGTGTCATAATCTTATCCACCGATCCGACATTTATCGATGGATAAGATTGTGCCACGTGTCCGTATTTAGTTTTCCGTTAGAGTGAAGGACATATATGCTCTAGTTTTTTGACGACATGGTTACCAATGTCCCAAAAGTATGACGAAGGATATCTGCATACCATTTACGATAATTCGAGGTATAGTTGTCCTTTTTCCCTATTTTAAAATTGAACTTATGCTTTATAGGACATAATTTGTGTTCAATGGATTTTTTTTGCCTTGTGAATTTTTCTTTGCTTGTGATTTATATGCTTTGATATTAGGGATATTTTTGTCTGCATTTTTATTTCTTAACGTGTTGAAGGAAAAATACTAAAGACCGCAAATCCATCCCCCAACTAGAGGTGGATCCATCCCTCTAGGTGGGGTGCACATACACCTGTTAACTTCAGAAAAAATTTCAAATCAAGCTTGAGTGTTTATGTCATTGTTTTTATTTTAAGTTTATCTTAGAGCTCATATTTAAGCTAAGGTAATATTAGTGCATCCAAAGTCTTCAAATTCTAGGTTCGTCTCTGCCACAACCCGTTTACCCCTCACACTATATATGTATATTGACTCACTCATTTCTACCTACTTCCCCTTAAAAGGCATTTATTTTGTATCATGACTTTGTTATATGTCCAACTAAGACAATTTAAGATGCACAGGACAAACAAAACTGCAATGTTCAATCTAACCCCGACAGTCCCAGAGCAGCAATAAAAGTTGTTGTCCCGGTTATAGTTGAGTGATATGTATCTTATCATCGTTTATTAAAAATTTCAGGTTCAGGTCTTAAATTTGAAATCATCATAGTTAATTAGAAAGTATTTTATAACTTAATCAGATTCTACTACATGCGAATATAATGAGAAGAAAAAAAACATGAAAGTTGTGTGCCTTAGTCCTATTCTTAGAAATTTAAGTTGATGTTTGAAACCTAATTTTATCTCCCAACCAATTCTTCCTTTAAGAGTTTTTGCTTTTATGGTTATGCTCTCCACTTGGGCAGACCCTTGTAGTTATTAGTAGGTCCTTGTACTTTCTTCTGCTAGATAAATGGATTAAGCTTTTCTGAATATGTAGGCAACCTTTTCCAAGTTGACATGCAGTGCCGGAGCCACCTTTCGGCAAAAAATTATATGATTTATACATGGTTAAAATAACTTCTTTAGGTATATATAGTAGATGTCGAACCCCCTTCGACTACTTCGTGTATCTATTTTTTACGATTTTAAACTCCCTTATTGAAAATCCTGGCTCCGCCCCTGTTTACATGGAATGATGAGTTATAATAATATTGCTGAGCAAGTAGCAATGCACAATATCTAGCAAGTTGTTGTATCGGGCTTTTGCTCATTTATTCTTATCAGAAGATAATTTATTTAATTTGCATACGACATTCTTATTATAACACAAGCAAGGCATGGATCATCGTAAAAATATGATTGAAGGCTATTAAGTTACTGATTTCGATCTATTTGGCATATCGTAATATGGGAGTTCTGTTATTTTGAAGGATGTACAAATTCATAGCATATTAGCCTCACAAATAATTTAAAACATTAAATTGTTAGAAAAAAACACATTTTTATCGATTTAATTGAATCTTTTCAGGTAGATTATCTCATGTACTTGTGAAGTACTATCGAAGAAATATGAATTAGTAAAGACGAATTCGACAGCTTAACAACAAAATCCGTTATTAATATCATTCAAAGACGATTTAGCTAAGTTAAAAAAGTTAAAGAAAGGGGGTGGGGGTGGGGGGGTTATGTATTATCCCTAAAAATATATTCTACATGATTCAAATTTCATTGTAACAAGCTAAGATTGTGAAGTCTCATTCTCCATTTACTAAGACGTTAGATACTTTAGTTAGTAACTTTGTCAATGAAAGATCCATTACCACACCATCATTAATCAAGTAAAAATTTTATGAAATCTTGTCACTGAATTCCATTTGGCCTTCATTAAGTAAAAGCACATTTAGCTTTTCAAATTTCATACTCCCTCTATCCCTAATTACTTGTTTATTTTTGAATTGATACATCTATTAAGAAAACAATTAATGACATAGTGAATTTATCATTTTACCCTTATTAATTATGAAATTGATGAAAAGTTCTACATTTTTCAAAGTAATTAATCATTTAATTGAGGATATAATAGGTAAAAAATAATTGTCCTTTCTTAATTTGTCAAAATGGACAAGTAATTAAAAATAACTATAAAAGAAAAAGTGGACAAGTAATTAGGGATAGATGGAGTATTACTTTTCTAGAAATAGGATATAATATAATGGTTAGATTGTCAATTCAATACACTTTAATTTTGACATACTTATCTCCAACCACTTGAGTCCAAAGATAATTAAAGTTTCAAGCCAAGTTGAAGTTATAAGTTGGATTAGGTTATGACTCGTTCAAATTTATTTTGATTTAAATTGATTAAAATTGGATTGCATCATGGTCCGTTTAATTTGACCTATTTAATTTCAAGCATATTAACATATTTATACTTATCTTTTATAATCATAATTTGAATTCCAACTCAAAATAATAATAATAATAATAATAATAAAAATATAAGTTTTTAATTTCAAAGTGGAAAATCACCAAATATTACCAACCAAATAAACATGTATTTAAGATAACTCACTCAACATGTATTATATGAGGAAAAAATACAGTTTGATTTCTTTTGGTTATTTTGATTTCAGAAAAGCAAAATTTTAATTTATAATTGTGATAGATAAATTCTAAAAGATATAAAGTAGATAGTAATTCATATATTTAATATGAAAAATACATTGCAACAATGTAAATAAAGACTCTTAAAAACAGGTTGGAATTAAAGATTAATTTGGGCTCAATTTTTCAGATTCTATTTAAAATAGGTTAAAGGTTGAATGAATTGAAATTGATTTAATTTAAATTATTGTAAGCTCAACCAATACAATTATAAATGAATAAATTAGAGAAAAGACCCAAAATAGTCCCTCATCTTTGGGTTAAGACTCAAAGTCATCCTTGAGTTTTCACATGGAGTATTAATAGTCTCTTATGTTTCCAATATTGGTGCACTTTTGGTCCTCCTTCAAAATTTTGTCTATTTTTTAACATTGATTTTATCCATAATTTATGTATGGAATGCTTAATCTTCATTTTATATATTTAGTAGAAATAATGACTCCATGTGAGAGATTGTGAGAAGAAAAACACCTTGTTTTGTTTAGTAAAAAATGTATTACAAGTAAAGTCGGGAGGTTCATCACGACGATTTCACGTGCAATAGTACAAATTTTTCTTTTCTTGCAATGTCATATTTTAAAATGTTCTTAGTTTAGCTGCAGTATTATTTCTACTGAACAGAACAATGTGTTATTCTTCTCACTTTCTCTCACATAGAGTTATTATTTATATTAAATATATAAAAAGACGATGGGACATTCCTTACATAAAATTATGGACAAAATTAATGTTAAAAAATAGGCAAAAGTTTAGGGAAGGAACAAAAGTGCACCAATATTGTAAACATGAAAGACTATTAGTGCTTCATGTGAAAACTCAAGAATGACTTTGAGTCTTAACCCAAAGATGAAATACTATTTTGGGTCTTCTCCCAAATAAATTACCTATATTTAATCTCATTTTAACGTCATTAGGAAGAGCATCATTAAAAAATGCATATAAGCATTAACTACTGATGTGACAATCCAATTTCTGAACGAGTTGAAATCGGCATTCGGTGGCACAACTTGATGTAAC